CTTTTTGGCGATTTGCAAATAAATGAATATCTATGTAAGTAAACCAAAAGCCAATCTCATTAAGGTAAACAAAAGTTGCGGTAACCCGAAGGTGACGTCAATAAAAGTAAACACCAGAAACTGGTACGTAAACATCGCATGGTAACCAGAAATGGGATTTCAGCAAAACTGAATGAAAATTATTACCAAAACAAGGGGAGCCAGATTCTACACAAGAGCATCGATTTCCCATGCATATTACAAATTTAATAAAACTGCCAGTTAAATAACCAAAAAACAACAATTGTAAAATGGTTAATAAGTTTAGATACCGTTTAAAATAAATTTATATTAAAATGTATTGTAATAAGGTAGTATCGTAGAATTATGTTGGAAAAAGAAACAGCTCATTTAGTCTTAAACTCTTAAGCTAGAAAGCAATCAATACCAAGCAATCAAATTCTGTATAGTAAAATCCGGAAAATAAATGCTACACGTAAATACCTTTAAATTTGGGATACAAAAATAATTTACAGGAAATCAATACCTTTATGACTTCTATTAATTCCATGCTGATAGCAACCAAAGAATATGGAAATTAATGCGAGAAACTGGATCCTACCATGTGATTTTCCGACCAACAAAAATGTACCGACTATAATGAGAAACTGCGACACTATCTTCTACAATTTTTTATACATAACTGGATATAGAAATACTTTTCATTACTATTAAATAGCCATTGAATAATTAAATGTACAATACGTACTTTTTATTGATACTCAAATAGATTTTTTCTTACTCCGTAATATTTCGAATCTTAGTAAAGTTAATTTATGTGTTTTAAACAATTGTCTTAAACAATTTTATATAGTCTTAACTTTATACAGTCTTATATTAAGCAATTTTATTTTGTATTAAACAATTTTATATACATATATGTAACCTAAGGAATATGATATAAACATAAATAACATAAACAATGTTATATAAAGATATGTAATCTAATCAATGTATGTAAACATACATGAAAATAATTTACATATTTGTTTTAGCTTTTGAGAAATTCTGTTTATTATTTTAGTTTATTTCAAACGTAGCTCACCTGTGAAAAAAGCGTGAAGTGTGATGTCGTTGTTTCTAATTAGATACAATTAATTGAATAATAGATTGTTTTTCCTCAAAACTAAGAAACTTTTCCCTAGAAAATTTTGTAGATATATTTTAGCTAAATAAACATGTTTGCATGTTGTATGTTTTATTGCTTCCATAACAAAAAAAATGATTCAAACTTTAAAATATGGATATTTTTTATCAGTGCATAGATATAAATAAGTTACCGGTACACATTTCAATAGGGTTATAAATAAAATGTGCTGAGAATTCTATGTTTCAAAATAAAAATTGCAGTTTTTTGCTACTTTTGAGTGAGTAAGTTTACATAATTATTTTTACGGTTAGTCTAGTGCAGGGGTGGAGAACCTTTATGCACCAACGTGCCATTTTTTTCAAAAATTTTTTTCAAGAGGTTTTAGACGTGCAATCAAGTAATTTTGACTTCGTGATTATTGGGAAAATAACAATACTAAATACTATCAAAACTCTTTATTTACTATAAAGAAAAAAAAAAACATTTTGCAGTGTCTCGGTTATAAGCGTAATTCAACTTAAAGTAAGATCAGTGTGACTTCTGTTGTTGCAGATTAGATGACAAATAACTTATATTAGGTTGTAAGATGTTAGTTTAAGCAGGACTGTTAAATCTCTTTTTCTAGTTATTTATTGTTAGCTTGTTTTTATGGTTACTAATTTTTTTGGCATTAATTATAAATTTTTTTGTTAATAATTTTAATTTTTTTGTTTGTTTTTGTGAATTTTAATTTAATTGTTATTATGCTTCGTAGTGAACTTTGTGATCAGTGGCGTGCCCAGAATAGTGTGTCGCGTGCCATAAATGGCACACGTGCCACTGGTTCGCCATCCCTGGTCTAGTGTGTATAGTGTCTCACTTTTTCTGTATATATCATTTAGTCATGAACTCTGCATCTCGCATATGATTGTTTATTTCGTAGACATTAAATTCAAAATGATTAAACATTTCTTAAAATATTTACAAGGGTCTGTTCAGACATTTTGTGAAAGGTCCATTTTTGTAAAATTGTGAAAATATTACTCGTAATTTGTGAATATAAAATAAATGTTAAGTCACATTTTTTCAACCAGGGTCCGCTTTTGTGAATTTGTACAAATAGAGTCCGTTATCGCAAAAAAACTTTTTCAAGTAGTTTTTAAATTGTAAAGACATACACGATTATGCTCAACATTTTAAAATAATAATTAAAAAAATTAATTTGAGAAAATAAACAGCAATTGCTGCTACTAAATTAGAGATGCAACATACAAATATTTGGTATTTAGCCTATAATGCTGAACGCAGAATATTCATTTGGGACGAATAAAGGAAGAAGCTTCTGCCGAAGACAAAACTTAGTTCGTTTGCATTTGTCGTTCTTCCCCTCCCCTTCTTAGTAAGGGTTTATTCGATTAACAAAACAATAATGAAGATAAACAAATTTGTGAAGGGTCAGATTAAAAGACGAATTACTTTTTGAAGGGTCCGTTTTTAAGTTAAAAAATTTTGTGTTTTTATGAAAAAGATATTTTGTGAAGGGTCCGTTAACGGACCCAAATTTCTTCTAAACAGACCCCTGATTTATATATAAAAATTAAATAAAAAGGATTAGCGCATACCATACAAGAGGCATGTAACAGACAAATTTCAGAAGTGCTTTGAATATGACAAAAAGTCCTCGAAATATTTCATTGTTAATCAATATGAAACTTTAACACTTCAGACACCATATGATATATTAGGAGATTTTTAATTAATCTAAGACGGGGTTTCAAACTTATTTAATTTATGCTTAAATCTTAAAACAATAAAAGTGTTCGTTTTCGAACTGAAACGGCGTGATTCTTTCAACATTTTAGAGACTCTATGATATATATTATGAGATTTTTAATTAATATGACGTTATTTCGACATTTTTTAATCAATGGGTACTTGTATCTTAAAACAAAAGCGGTGTCCTTTTCTTCAAACTGAATGCTAGATAACTGATTTGATAAACATTCACAACCTTCCAATATCAAGGCTGTCTTTTGCCGTTATATATATATGTTACACTAGATAGACAAGGATTTAATTTAGGAGGTTATAAAGTATCGTTATTATTTCTTTTTTTATATAGTTGGTGTGTATCGTTCTTATCTCTGATACATGACGTGTTCTAAAAGTGTTCCAAATGCTAAAGACGGTAGGTTCTAACGTAAATTTTACCCGACATACAACGTTTAAATCGCTGTATTGGTTAGTTAGTCAAAAAGCGTTTTTTTGTACTTAAAAACGATTTTAAAAACATCAAGAGTAGATAATTTCACTTTAGCTAAAATTTTTAATTTAAGCGTAATTTTAATTTTGAAACATAGAATAAACAATTTTGTTTTGAGTTAAGTAAAGGTATACAAGCAGAAATATATACACATATACAATTGTTTTCAATTCCAAACAACATAAAACGTTATCTTTTCACATTCACATGTAGATCCACATTTATGCTTTACTGTTCTTTGAGCAAGAAACATATGTTTGGGCAAAGGTTACAACTGTTTATGAATAAACAAGTTAAAAGGAGGAAAAATTAACTTTCGGAGAAATGGAGTGAGATTTCATCGTTGTAGAGTAGCAATTCATCCAGGTTAATATGCATACTCAATAGCTGCCTACTTGGAAGTGGTATTTCGAGCTGCATATATAAAAGTTTCACAAAAGTTTTTTATTTTACACATATTTCTCTTTTTATATAACTCTTCATGATTTCTTTGCTAAAATGCATCTATATAATCTCAGCCTTTTTTTGAAATGTTTGTTTTCAAAAAATGTGATCATTTTGAGTAAAACCATCCAATTTGTTTTTGATGATGTCTCTTAAAAAAGAATTCCAAAAACTTCGGAAATTCGAAAGCTCTTAGCACCAAAGCGAGTAGTAAAATGTACAGTTAGTTATACAGTTCTATTGAACAGCTATCAGTTCAATGCACCAATATTTTATTTTATGGTAGAATAATCTTTTTTGAAAACCTACAATTTAATATATTCATGTATGTTTATCAAACACTATATTTGGCTTGGAAATGTACAGTTTTGGCACAAAGCAGTTATTTAAAAATGTTATTTTTATAATTTTCATGCAAAGTGGTGCTATAGTCAATTGTCTCCTACATTATTCTATAAACAATATTTTTTGCAGAAACTTGTTCTTTTTTCTGTTCTTTGTTGTTAGGAAATTACATTTTGTATCTTCCGTGTTCTGCTGCAATACAAAAGAAGTTACTTTCTTCATTTCCATTGGTTCTAATAAGACACGTGACTGTAAAGACTTTGATTTATATATAACAATTATTCACAACATTTTGAACGCTAAATGAATGATTTATCTTACCAAGATTAACAATTTTAAAACATTAGTGTTATACCTACTCTACCTATTTTAACTTTAATGTCATGTGCATAACATTAAATATTTGTTCGAAAATTAATTTTTTAAAATTAAATATAGATTTAAAACTCTATAATTTAATTGTTTTAGTCTAATAAGTTAAAATTAATTTGATTAGAAGTGAAGATTTGAAGTTTTTATTATCTTCTACTGCTATTATTTCATAAATGTAAAATATTCAAACTATATTCACTTAGAGTTATTATATGATAAATTTCTAATTTATCAATATCCATTTTTATTTTTAAACATTAAGACACATTTCAATAACATGAAATTTAATTTGATGCAAAGAAATCACACGAATAGAAATTTTTTTTAAAGTGGTGCATTCGAAAAATTTTATGTTTTTCCTAAAGTTATTTTTTTAAATATTCGAAGATAACGAATAGTAAAAGTAATGAAAAAAAGTATACATACGTTTCTTCTAGATAGTATATATGACTTTTTGAACTTTTTCAAACGTGTAAGTAAAATAAAGTTATTAAATTTAAACATTTTCCTTTAGCGTAATATTTCTCACATAGAATAATTTTACAAATGAACATAATTTATATCTTTATAGTCAGTGAAGCGAATCATACGTGTGTTATTCATCAAGCGTTTTAATGCAATGAGAAAGTTATAACTAAAATATTTTAAATATTTTTAAAAATATTCAATATACAAACTGCACTTTACAAATTAAATTGTCATTATCTCAATATTAAGTATCTCAATAATAATTTAACCTTAAATCCTAACACTTTTATTTTTTTGTTAAGGAAAAATAATGTTTAAAATTTAGTTATAATAGCTAATGATCAATCAATTATGTATGAATTGATCTGTCAATAGTTAAACAGTTATTTAGGCAATAATTTAGCCAAATTAAACTGCTAGGCATTTTAGCTTAAATTATTAAATCTTATTTCGTCTTGTTGCTTTAGATGAACGTTTAAATTTTGGTAACCATATAAATTGCCAACCAAATATCCCAAATCTAAATTGTTGACAACATTAGTTAAATTAGGATTTTATCTACGTAGTAATGAAGTCAAACTTAATGGTGAATATTCAAAAGTATTTTCTCAACATATTTCAACTCCTAAATTTTTTACTAATTAGAATAAGTATTTAAATTCTATTAATAATAGTTAATGATCAATCAAACAACTTAAAAAACTATTAATAACACTAGTTTTCTTTTTAACGAAGACAACTTTCACAGTTTTATGCCACTGGCAAACGCAAATCCTCTTTCGTCATCTTAAGTAAACGATATCATTCCATGGCACTTTTCATGTGCCACAGGCAAACACGTACACATCTTTGTCATCTTAAGTAGAAGATACCATTCTATGGCACTTTTTATAGGCAGTGAATCAGCACTAAAAGAACCAATTTTTCTCTAGTTACACTTGTCATTTCTATGCGATAAATTGATTAAAATGATTCTTCTAATGTCAGAGACTTCTTTTAAAAATTTGTATCTGAGCATATTTCTTCAACGGTTGGGGATTTCCTTGCAGAACTTCATTTTTCTTCTAAAAATCTCAGATTTAGTCAAAAGTTGACCACCTGTCTTCAGGAGGTGGTAAGGTGTCGATATATTTCATAGGGTCTCCGATATTCTCCGATTGTCAGACGGTATCGATGCTTACGAAATTCATGGGTCCGAAATCCCGAGGATCGAATGTGGGACTTCTTTTTTGCCTCGGCTGAAAGGGCGGTGGTGGAAACTGATGAGGATGATGGTGATGGTGCCGCCGTCTTTTCCGCTTTCGATGGCAAAACAAACAGATGGTCAAAAATATAGTAAACGCAATTCCCATTGTTAGGCCTACGATGAGATATACGTTGACAGTTGGTAATTTTTCGCCTGTAAAAGAATTGATACAATTATAATAAACTGTGCATTTTTAATAAATACCAGTTGTTCCGAAAATGACCACAGATTTGACAAAAGCAGTTTAGGGTGTGTTCTTTTCTGCAACGGAAACCAGATCATTTATTCTCACCAAGGTTTCAAATTTATTGCAATTTGTCAAAAGATGATGGCGCTGTTCAGTTTTAAACCGTGTTGCCAGACTACATTGTATTATTGCTTTAAGTGATGAAAATATTGTTCAATGTTTTTTTTCCAGTTAACAGCGCCCTCTTTTGACGAATTTCAAAATTCTGTAAGGAAAAGTAATATTTTTTCTTTTGAAATATGGACTAAAACACACGTTTCTATCTCCTTGGGTTTTATTGATTGGATTTTTTTTAATGAATAATGGACATTTTCGGAACATGTAATGCTTAACATTTCAGCATTCTGCCACATCTTTAAATAAGATTATTTTTAATACAAAGGCCTGTTTCTCAAAGATATTCTTATTGTTACTATGGATGTGACATAATTTACTGATTCTTAGCATGTTCTTCTCTTAAATGGTCTAATAACCCTTAAGGAAAATAAAAGACACGTTTTAACATATGACATTTGAAACTACTTAATAATTCTAAGCGAATTCAAGTAGAATTTTGAAGCAATAAGACAACAAAATTTTGAAACAATAACAAAAATTACAAGAAATAATTCGACGTTTTGGAAAATTACATACATCATAGATATTTATCGTAATTAAAGGATTTAATTGCGAGAAATATTTATGAGTTTTTTTATACTTTTATTTTTTTATACTTTTGTAAAATTATAGAAAAAGACACAATGTTGAATTTAAAACCTTTGAACGCACGACTTCTCAAAAAGTGTTTGATGTGTATATTTTTACAAATCTTCATAGTAGCTCCTTTAAGTGCTTATAAAAAATGTAACATAATGTTACATTTTTTATAAGTACAAAATGTTCTTGGAAATTAAAAGCGATTCCTTAAAAAAAGAAAATTTTATTTCTTAATTTCATTCATTTTGGAAAATACTATTTTTTTAATTGAAGAAATAAAACGATAAATAATTTTTAGTTGTCAAATTTACACTTAATCAAAACTTTTATTATTGAAACTATAAATAAGTGTAACTATTTCTCATGTCCAACGCATTCAGTTTCTTTTTAGAATTTCTAGAATTTGCTTTATTATATATTTTTAAATAACGAGAAACTACTTAAAGTTGGGTAATTTCCACGATATCAATTGAATGTTTGTAATAACTATTATTATTCGCTCATAACTCAGAATTCTACTTATTTTTATTTGAAAGTCATGGTAGAAGTCAGAGCTGCCAACTACAATGAGTTTTGCAAAATATTTTATTGATTGGTAGACAAATGAAAACTATAGTTTACAGAATTTTCCGTAATTTCTCTACATTTTAAAAAGCCATACCATGAGATACCTAGAACAAAGTGAGGTTTCATATGAACTTTTAACAATTTGCATTTAGTCTGCGAAAAATAACTCTAAATCCAATTTACAAAATAAAGAATTATGTATTAAAACATAAACATGGCTATCAGTAGACGAAATTTTCCCAAAAATCGTTTTAAGTTGGCAGCCCTGGCTTGCAGTTTGCGTGTGCTTTTTTCCAGCTTTAAAGTTAAAGTGAACGCTTAAGATTTTTTCTTGTGTGTTAAATATAGCTAAATAAACATTTTTCGCTCAACTTGTGACGTGTAATTATCATTTCTTTATTTAAAAATTATTTTTTAAAAGAATGAAGTGAGGAATTAAACAGAAAATATTTTACAGTATTAGCAATATTTGCCAGCTTAAAGAGTATAGTGAATTATTATGATCTTTTCTCGTACGTTAAAAAAATATAGCTGAATGAACATTTTTCAAGTAACTTGTAAATTACAACTAACATTTCTTTATATAGTCATAAATTGTTTTTTAAAAAAATGGCATGAATAAAACAGAAGATATTTAACAGGATTAGTAGTCTTTGCCAGCTTTAAGGGTAAAGTGAACCCTTAAGATCCTTTCTTTATGTTGTAAACAATATAGCTAAATGAACATGTTTTGCGTAACATGTGAATCATAATTAATATTTCTTTGTATATTTTTAAATCATTTAGAAAAAAATAGCATGAAGAATTAAATAGAAAATATTTAAAAGGATTAGTACTATTTGCCAGCTTTGAGGGTAAGGTGAATCCTTAAGCTCTTTTCTTTATGTTAAAAACAATATAGCTAAATGAACATGTTTTGCGTAACATGTGAATCGTAATTAATATTTCTTTGTATATTTTTAAATTCTTTAGAAAAAAATAACATGAAGAATTAGACAAAAAATATTTAAAAGGATTAGTAGTATTTGCCAGCTTTGAGGGTAAAGTGAATCCTTAAGCACTTTTCTTTATGTTAAAAACAATATAGCTAAATGAACATGTTTTGCGTAACATGTGAATAACGTTTCTTTATGCACTTATAAAATATTCACAAAAAAAATAATATGAAGTATATTTAACTGGATTAGGCACTTTATTGTACTTACATTCTTCTTCGTCACTTCTGTCACTCCACCCACAATTGGGTTCTTTATTGCATCTTAAATTGCCTGCAATACAATATCCGCTGTCTCGACACTTTAACTGATCGCAGTCTTCAGCTGAAAGATGTTAAATGTTACAGTTAAAAGGAATTCAATGTTATAATATATTAATAAGAGTGAAGTTAAGAAAAAAATTAATTTATATGCAAAGTAATTCGAAGATTTAAAAGACGGTGTTTTGATCCTTAATTGCAAGTAAAATTACTTGATCAAACAACTATAAAATCCATAATGGTACGAAAAATTATGTTTTTTTTTAAAAAATAAATAATAATAAATAGTTGAACACAGATTTCTTAAATTTGTAAAAGCTGAATGCAATTTTTTTATTTAGCTTTGAAGTGTGTTTGTGTGAAATGGAAAACAATAGGAAAGACATAGAAAGAGGCAAAATATCTGGCCGCATGTAGAGTGAGATGGACAGTTATGATGGAAGCCCTATGCTCCAATTCGGAGTTAAGGAGAATATGTATGTGTGTGCTCACTAGTACTCTTCTTTCAAATTAAGTAATTTGTTGAAACAAGTAAATTTTCTCCCATTTTTAATTCTTTCATATATTTACGAATTTTTGACTATTTTGTTTTTGGCTTTTGAAAGATTTTATAAACACATAAGCCAAATAGCACTAAAATATTAATAAATATTATTTAAAAAAACAGATCACAGAACAGTTTGTAAAATAATGCATCAAAACAGAGCTTATACGAAAACAGTGAACCTAATATTCAAAATTAACGTTCGAATCATAGAGACAGTTTCCTGAGGCGTTTTTCAGTTTATATTGTTTCTTTTTCAAAAACATATGTTATTCCCTCGTGTCAATGTCATTCTTTTACATTTCCGCTTTGTCACAAGCCATTAGCACTGTCTTACGATAAGAAATAAATTTGAATAGTTTCATCGTTTAAATTTATAATGAAAACTTGTTTTAATAATGTTTTAGAAGAACATAAGACGAAGGAAATGTGAGAATATAATCAATTTAAACAACATTTACTGGATAGCTTTTGAATAGACTTACTTTCTGTGATTTCTGTCCATACAGCTTTAAAACCTTCCGCTCCAATTGCTTTTTCTGCTGTTGCAAAACTGAAAATGCCAGTATGTTTGTTACGAAGAAGGACTTGATTAAGATTTTACTATTTCAAATATTTAAAGTTTGTTTTTTAGAGACAATAAAGCTGATGATTATAATACACAAAATATAACACAATATTCATAATAATAACGTGGTACATTATTTTGCATGTGATAACTCTTCTGTATTTATATAAATATTTTATAAACATGCAGTTCTATACTGATATTCTATTAAAAGAACACTTCAAATATATGGAAGACAGTTAATGAAATGCATAAAACATATACACATAGAACAAAAATAAAATTATTTTTAAACATAGTGCTAGGAAAATTCAGTTGAAAATAAAAATTCATTGAATTAAAAATCATTTATTAAATATTATATAATGTTTTTTGTTAATTGTATCAGTTGCTTAAGACATAAAGTTTAACATCAAATAATAAACTTTCATAAAGTAATTGTTGAATAATTTTTCACAGATTTATATGTTTTGTATTGCTATAAAACTAGTGAAAAATAATGTCCTAATGTCTTTAAAAATAATAACAACAACTCAACAATTAATTGAACATCAATAATTAACAAACTTTATGCAATAAACTACTTAACTGAATCATTATAAACTAAAATATAATGCAACCATAATTCATAAACTAAACAATGAATAAGACATCAAATTCTTAAAAATACGTCTATCAATAAAATTTTTTTGTAAAAAATTATAGCTAATTAAGAATGCGATGTAAAAATTAAGATATAATAATTGTCTCTTATTATGCCTAAATAAATTATACTTCTTATTATTTGGATTTTAATTTGCTATATTTGTGCATGTTTAATTGTTTGTGTTGCAGTAAAACTAGTTAAAAAATCATAGTTTTATAAAATAAGATCTACGGTTCAACAACTATAGCAATTAATATACTCTTGAAAAGTCAATAAACTTTTCATCTAATTCCTAAACAGATTATTAATAAACAACTAATTAATAAGCAGCACTTAATAAACTCAACATTTTATTGAACGACTAAACAATTTATAAAACTTCAAATGGTTAAAAATACTAACATTTATAAGAAAAGGTAACAGCTTTATAAAAAAAGAAATATATATATATATATATATATTCCCAAGTTTCAGTAATATAAATTAATCAATAAATTCAACAAGGAAAAAGCTAAGTGATAAGCATCTACATAATAAAAAGAACAAAAGAGATTAAAAAATGCTACAACTACTTACAACAATGCTATTCCAACTGTACAAATAAGACATCAAATTGTTAAAAAATTATTGAGGAAGAGTTGAAAAAAATGTTATGGATTAAATCCATAGACTAAACGGTTAAAAAATTATATTTTAGTGAAAATAAAACGTTAATAAAAAGCATTAATAATCTTAGCTTGTAATTTGAGATACAATAATAAAATTTAAATTAATCCATGAATGGGATGCAGTAAAAATTTTTGAATAGTTTCGTTCTCCTAGCAGACGCTTTGGCGCATAATGAGCTAATGAATTCAAAAAGAATACTAGTAATAAGCTCACCAAGTTATAAAAACTATTGAATAGTATAAAAATTAATAAAAAAACACTGCAATTAATTAACTGCTAATTAATTAATAAAGCATCAAGTCATTAAAAAAATTTTTGGTAGGGGAATATTTGTAAATAATGTAGATCTCAAATTTTTATAAATGTAACAAAATAATCTATCTTCATGTTCACATTTCATTAGCGAATTTTTTTAGTCCTTCGGTCCTCGCTTGAACCTATTCTAATGAGTTTATAAACTGTTAGAATACCATAGCTAAAATGATGCGAGCTATTTCACTGTTTCGCTATCAGTTCACAATTCCATAGTATAAAAATATCACTTGGCGTTATCTATTTTGTAGTATTGCCTACATCACACCTTTTTTTATGTTAAGAATTTTTAATATTTAAGCTCAGAACATTTTTTTTCTACACCTTTGTACATATTAATGTTCTAAAACTTGAAATTGACAGGATGAACAACTTATAGTATAGCTATTTCATATAAGATAATTAGTTGTTGTGAAAAAATAAAAATGTGTTGTTTAATAAGAATAAAAAAAAATAATTATTGCTAATTATTTTAGGTTACAGAAAGGCGAAATAGACTTACGAAAGCTTTAGTATGCTCGATGTGGATAAGATTTCAAGAGTACCGTTTGAAGCATCCATGCCACACATTTCAGAGGGTGGCTGACTTAGATTTTTCCACACTCTCACAACAGCACCAGGGCAGCCTCTCTCTGTAAAAGAAATAATGAATTTCACTTTATATGAATTTGCTGAAGCTTAAATTAACATACTAACAATATTTTAATTTCTTTAAATTCCAATTTCTTAAATTGCAAAATAGGGGAGCATTAGCATGCAGTCAGTGCGGGAGCAGTTTCAGCGGTTGACTTCAAATTACCGCAAACAACCATACCCCTTGCTGATCCAAGAAAAAGAAAAAAACCCACGGCATTACAGCACATTTCATTAGTGTTAGTTTTGACTATACACTTTTTTTAATGAAATATGTGTTAAAAACTCATTGTTTTAATTTCTTTGAACTATGAAAATCGATTTGTCGAAGTCTAATTTATTTACAAAGAAATTGTACTCACGCTGTTTGTTCCGTAATTGCCGTGTTTAATGTAAACAGATTCAAAATCCTAGCTAATAATTAAGTTAAATGAAATGAAATTCTTTTATCGAAACATAGATGGAAAAAACAGTTATCGATGTTTAAAGAATTTGCACTAAAGATGGAGCTTAACACATGCAAATTTGTTTTTAACTGCTGGAAGATAAAGAGGGGATAAACAAAAATTATCAGAAATATAATAAAATAGGAGTAGGCAATTAAAATTGTTTCTATAGTTTTGTACCGAACATTACAGTAGTGATTGATACATTTTTTAAGTATGCAGGGTGTTCTTTTATCACTGCCCTTGATATATGTTTTTGGAATTCGTATCTAAATGAAGTAAATATTTATGCATGTTGGGAACTGCAGTTATTTATTTTTCTGAGGAAAACGCAAAAACATTATCATAATCTGTCGAATTATTACTGAGGAAGACAGGATTAAAATCATCAAAACCTGTTAGTTGCCGGTAGAACAGAAAAGGGTTAAAAGCCGATTATTAGTAACATCTCAGACGTTCATCCACCCCTCTACACAAATTCAACTGATTTCAATAGTGTTTTTGTTTTTTCTTCACTTGATTATTAATTTCTATTTTCCTATTTGACTTTCGCTTGGATTCTAAAAATTTAAATTAAGAACAGTGATTACGAGACATGCTTTTACAGTTAAATATTTACCCGTGGGGTCTCCTTCAAGACGAAAGAATGAGAATAAAAGTAATATTTTGGAGCTCGGTCTGACACTTATATACCAGTGACAGACTTGTCTTCTATCCTTATATCTTTCTGGAAAACCTGGACTCGTTATTATTCCATAGGTCTGTCCCTCACTGCTGTTGAATCCACATTCTAAAAAGTTAAAAAAAAAAAAGACTTACTGAGAGCTACGTGATTCAAATTTTTATAACTATTATAGCTGTAAATCACTTATATACATTGGAAAATTTTAAGAATATATTATATATTATATGTACATATAATTTAAAAATAAAAATTTTAATTTAAAAATAAAAATTTTAATTTAAATATTAAATGCAATTTCATGTTTAAGCAATAATGTGCTACTTCACACTGTGAGCTCTGAAATCTTTTATAATATACATACATTTCTATTATTCAATTCGTCCTTTTAATAAATAATAATTCTAATAATAATATTAACGATAACCTAAATTTCCGAAGTAGCTCAGGGGATAGAGCGTTCGTCTCCCAGTGAGGTGAACCAGGTCCGAGTCCCAGCGGTGGATGGTTGTTACAAAGTCTGTTCACCAACCAAAGTGCTGACGTAAAATATTCTCAGAGGTAGACGGATCATGGGTTAGAGTCCCTTTGCCGTCGGGCTAACCGTGAAGGTCTTCCGTTAGCTTTTCTCTCCATATAACGCAAACGCGGCTTAGTTCCATCTAACTCTAGGAAGGCTAGTTTGACCCAATGCCGAATCTAGAAATTCCCTTGTCTTTAAGGTTGGGCTAAAAATTACTACGGAGTTGAACTTAGATTGTCGTAAACTCATAACGGGGACGACTGTTGAGTGATGGTTATGAAATTGTATTCAATGAAATTAAATTTTTAGCAATTCGTAATTTTTAAGACACATAGCTTAGGGGTCGTATATTTTCAAGTCAATTATTTTACTTTCTCATATTAAGTAGTTTTGGAAAATATGTTTTCATTCCATTAGTTTTAAAAGGTGTTTTATAATTGGTCGTATAAATTTTTTTTTTATCTTTATTTTCTCAAAAGCTGCACTATTTCAGTTTATTATGTTATTAATATTTCATTTATTATTTAATTTATTATTTTATTTTATGATTTTATTACTATTTATTTTATTGTTATTGCTATTTAAGCATAATCGATTTTTCAACATATTAAACAGAGTTTTATTTATGTCCAAAATTTGCATTAATCATCATTATATATTTAAAAAATTTTACTTGTGATATAATTTAATTATTTTGCTTGTGATATAATTTAATTTAGGTTGATTTTTTAAAATTAAATAAAAAATGGGAAAAATTGACTTATGTGATATTTTTTTTATTACATATTAGATTTTAATACATTATAATTTTTTTGTTGTATATATTTTGATATAATCATAAAATATGTCATTAATATTATTTAAAAACAAGGAGAAGTATTTTCTGTAAAAAGAAATTGATTGGTACAAGTAATTTTNCATTAATATTATTTGGAAACAAGGAGAAGTATTTTCTGTAAAAAGAAATTGATCGGTTTTTACCATTTTCAATATAAAATAATAATAACACAAACTTATTGAGGAAAGATGAAAATTGTTAAATTAAGATGAGATAACAAAACCCGAAGATGGGGTAATAATAATAAATTGTTAAAGTAAAAGGAAATAGCGATAATACGAGACTTTTGAATTGCAATACGATAGTAATGACACGAGATCAATGTAAGATGAAATAGTAATAGCATAAAATTTGCCAAGTAACATTAAATATTATCAACACGAAAAGTTTTAAAGTTAGATGGGGAAGAAAAGACACGAAATGTTTGAATTAAGACGAAAAAAGTAATAAAAGTTTATTAGGAAATGTTCAGGTAGTAATAACAAAGAACAAATTCAGAACTTTATAGGACCTACAAGAGACCTGCATAATAAATTTTTTATCTGTTCTAAGGCTAAAATGGGCAGGACCTCTGATTAGAATGAATGATGACGGGTCACCAAAAAGATCTTTGGTGCAAAACCATCTGGAGCCCAGAAAAGGGGAAGACCAAGGATCTGGTGGATCGACTGCCTAGAAAAAGATTTAAGAGTTCTCTAAGTTATAAACTGGAAGAGTCTATCCAAGAAGAGAGCAGCTTGGAACTTGTTTCTGAAGAAGGCCATGGCCCACCCTGGACTGACATGCCATTGAAGAAGAAAATGAAGAAAAAGTAATAACACGTGGAAAGTTAAGGTTATTTTTGTTTCACTTTCAAATCCCGTAAGTAATTTTATGTAAATTTAAGTCCATTAAAATTTAAATGTCATTAAGAAAACTGAATTATAAGTTTTTAGTTCCTTTTAAATGTAACGTGTATTAATCATAATAATTATTGTCATTGGATGTCATTCCGATCGTAAGATGTTACATCAAATGCGTGCATACCATCAAATTTTTTGTCGGGAGTTATAAAGTTGTATGTCGCGATGAAACCACTGGCCACACCTTGAGCATCGGTGTGAAGTACTACTTTCATGGTATGCGCTTCCTTGTCAGACACAATAGGCCCTGGAGTGGATCTAGTGCAATAGCGTCCAATCTTGTTTTCACGGTCATTTGGATAAACTTCGTAAATTTCCAGCCAATCTTCTGTACAATCATCACTGCAAAAAATACGCAATTAAATATTGTTTTATTTTTTATCAAGTAATTGTTATCAAACATAATTTGGAAGTATTATCTAATAATCACCCTTAATGTATACATATTTTTCAAGGATTTTTAAAATTATCCCAGATTTCTCGGCCTCCCTTAATGTTTACATAATTTTAAAATACTTGAAAAATATGCAATAAAACTACACAAATAAGGACTCGCAAGCGCAAATTAATATTTAAAGGTGAAAGAAATAGAAAAGCGATCTGAGCCTGTCAAATCGCTAGTGAAGAAAGCGAGATGAACCCATCGAAACCAGTTTGATCCCTCGATCCCTTCTAATATTTACCCTTAAACACCTCTCAATTTCTACTTTCAATTTGGGCTTACTAAGTTTTAAAGTTGATTACAAAGTAAGTTAAAAGACATTTTAAACAGAAAATAGATGTAAAAAAGTTCAATTTTATATAACATAAATTTGTACACTATGAATGAAAAATTCCAGATCAAAATGCAGTGAAAAATTGTTACTTTACAGTTGATTTAGGTTCATCATCCGTAAAATCCATATTACCGTAAAATCTATTCTTAACGTAAAATTTTATACCACAATTTTCATATTAATATTTATTTAATTACAGTGATTCAAAGGTTTTACCGAAAATATTATTATAAAAATTAGGATACAGCATACTTTTGGTTCCATAAAATTTTACGGTAAAAATAGATTTTACGGTAAAATGTACCCACACCCAGTCAAACATAAATTAAATTACTTTTTACCATAATTTGATTCAAAATTTTTTACTGTGTTGCAACAACTTGCTTACATTTTCCATAACATTCTTACAATGCATTATCTTTTTACATTACTTCCATCTGTGAGCAAAGCAAACCGATTTTTGTGCAAATATTTCAGTTGGATTGGTTTGAAAAGTAGCAGAAAGCATTGTTTTATCGTTTTTAAGGTAAGTAGAACCATCTGTTAACGAGCTCTGTGATTTGCTTTAATTTGGAATTTGGTTAGAATAAATTATTCTGTTTCGTTAGCACAACGCAGGTACTCTTGGTTTTGCTGCTGCCCAGATAAATTCCCAGTTTGAAAAGCAAGAATTGCTTTTTATTATTACCTTTCAATGACTTACTTTAACTTAAAAATTTAAGCGATTTCAAACTATAAAATGATAAAATATATTCTAAAATTTTAACAAATAAAATAGAAATATATCGAAATAACTATCAAGAATAATAAAATAAATGATATTTTATGACAGGTGGTATTTTTCCTTGAATGAAATACCCTCTCCTATTTTCCAAAAGGTTTACAATGATAAATGTGTTGATACTTCAAATAAGATTATCTGAATCCGTGTGGAATAAGATATGTATTTATCGTAGAAGATAATTATTGGAAAAACATCGGTATAAAGGAAATAAATTGTATCCCTGCAATTCTTACATTTATAAATTTATTAATGCTTAAACATAATTTTGTGAAACCTATTTGAACACTGGTAAACTTATTAACTTTAAAATAAGCACTACTGAGTCATTTTTTATGATCTTATGACTTAAAATGATGGCGTTAACTCGTGAACTTGAATGGAACTATTTGAAGAGTTTTACTTAAAAACTTCAAAAATTTAATTATTGTAATTGTTTCAACACTTTACGAATGTATTACTTTATGTTTCGATATAGAATTTTTATTCAGTTTGAAATTGTATAGGAAACTATGCCGGAAATATTTTTAAACTCCCCTAGCTGCGTACAATGACATTTCCGGTTATGGGTTTCTATACAATTTTAGTCGTGATCTCTTCTAGAAGACTGTCATAACATTCACGTGATCTCCTGCTATATTTTTAAACTTGCACATTTCGACAAAAAGTGTATTTTAAAAAAATCTTTTGAATGCTTTTAATGTCTTTAAATACTTTAGGAGCATAACTGTTTTCAGATTTTAAGTTCCCACACCAAAATTAGGCAAGATCAAAAAGATGTATTTGTATTAATGTAACGAAAAATTTGTCCCCCCCCAGAGTAATTAGGTGAGAATTACAAAAAAAAAAAGGTTTCGACAATTATAATCAAAATTAAGAAGAGCAAAGAAATAATTAAAATTATCAAAAACCAGTTTATTGATGAAGTGTGACTTATTCTTGACTTCCTCCTCAAATAAAATTAGCTTTTGAAGTTTTAAATCTCTCATTTTCTTCAATATATTTTAATATATAAAGATAAGTTAAAATTTGATAAAACGTTTTGTTTTTTGCTTCTCCTTAGTTTAGGCACTTTATTATTAACGTATGCCCCTTAATAAAAATATCTTTTTATAATAATAAAAAAATTTTAATAAAGGTGATTTTACAAAACTTCTTAGATTTTAATTTTTCAACTAGAATTGCGATTCTCGATTTATGCAGCTGTTCCGAGATTTTTATTTACTCCCGCATAAAATTTTTAAAAGATGTATATAAAAACTATTTTTCACTTACTTATATCCAGTGCTGGCAGTATCACTTGTTTTAGTTCTGAAATAGTTGAAAACAATTTTTATCTGTGTACCAGGCTCCCCTTGAAAGATATATTGACAACTTGTATTTGATGGATAGTTGGCGGGATATCTTGGTGAATTAAATTCTCCTTTCAGTGCACTTGTACTGAGGTATGTAAAGTGACACGTACCGTCAGGAAAAGGGGTGCCTGGAACCTTGTAGTCTGGAATAGAAAATTGCAATTTATTAAAAAAAAAGAATGAATAAGACAATGGACGTAGTCCTGTCGTTATAAATTGTATCCCTGTGATTCTTATGTTTACAAATTTTTCAAAGTTTAAATATATTTTGTGAAGTATATTTGAACACTAGTAATTTTATAAACTATAAATAAGGACTACTTATAAGTACAGTGTTTTTAAAATAGAGAATGATAATTTGAAGATAATATATTTTTTTAATTTTACTTCAATTTCTCTTTAAGCAGGCCTAGATAATAGATTTTTTTCTAATATCCTTTATGTTTTTTTACGCTTTCAAAAAATGGTCCAATACTAAATCATTATATAGTGTCGGTGGTAAAACTTATCCCGATGGTTTTGATCAGCTCTAAACCAGGTGCTTGAAATTGTACAAATATTCCATTAACTTTGAGGCAGCGATTGATGTATTTCGAAATAGATCTTCTGTCGTAATATTGAGACAGTCCAGGCTGTCCTCCAAAGATGGTGGGATGTTGTAGCATTATCATAGAGGAAAAGTTTTCATTCTATTAATAAATATCATGCCAAATGCGTTAATTATAAAGTACCAATTGTTGAGATGCATCGAGAAAACCTCAAACTTCATAAGTTCACTGACAGATTTGTTGGTATACCAATGATAATCAGAGGCTTTAATTTGACCCAAATTTTTTTCCCTCCAAATCGTAGGATGATCGATTTCAGAGAGAGAGGTGTCATGTCTTTATTAATTCCAGATCTTCTTTCATCTTTCATTATTCATCTTATGCTCCGGATATCGCCAAGTATTCAACTAACTTCTCGTCCTTTTATCCCCTGAATTATTATATTAATGTGGTTTTTCGAAATTTTGTCGCCAAGGAAAATGAAAAAGCCACAGTTTAAGTGCCTTACACTTGAAGCAAATCGAATATTTTAAACTAAATATATTATCTTGCCGCGAAGAATTATCTGGGTGTTAGAACGAATAAATAACTTATACATTTTAAGAATCGGCAATTCGGCGAAACTTTTTCTCTTAGATGAAAACTATCGAAATCACTCCCTTATTCTCAGTTTTTGCAAATTCTTATGAGCCCAGATAATGCAGTATTGGAGTAAGTTTTTAAATGTTAAAAAATTAGACCACAAACGCTTTTTATTTTCACAAAATTGTGGCTTTGCGCCATTTTCAAAATAAGCATTAACAGCGCTGGCTTTAAAGAGGCTAAACTTGACCTAACAGTCATGAGTAACTGTTGCAAACTTACAACAGATATAAATGTAGCATAATATTCGCAAAAAAGCATAATTTCATATGACGATGGAGACTTCGAAAAACAGCCTCAGTTCTTCAAATCACAATACGGTTCAAATTTGAGGTAACATGAATAAGATGTAGTTGAATTACGTTAACTAAAATCAAGTAACTAGTATTAGGTTAACTAGTATCAAGTTAACTATAGTATTACGTTTACTTGTATCAAGTTAACTATAGTATTACGTTTACTAGTATCAAGATAACTATAGTATCAAGTAATCAATTCTAAGAAGTACGATAATAGTGTTGGCAAATTGGCATGTTTTCATTCAAATAAAAGTGGAGATAAATGCTATTGTGATATATTTTTGAATAAAATCTGACTCTATAGAAACATAAAATAAATATGAATCTAAAAATAATATTGTTAAAATTCTCAAAAAAGCAAGTAGATCAAACTGAAACCAGAATATTTTAAAAAAGTAAATTTTATTATGATTAAAATAGCTTCTTATAAATGTTACGTCTTCTTATAAACAATTAAAATAAAAAAAATAAACATTAAAAAATCCGAAGGTGTTTTAAAAAACGAAATTCACTCTCTTTTAGTATTTTTAAATTTAACAACATTGTTTTTTTTATCTTACCTATTATTTATATTTCCAAAAGTTTTAAAATTATTTTATTTTATTCCTTTTCAAAGATTTTTAATAATCCTTTTTATATTGATTTTCGTTCAGTGGAAAACAATACTTTCCTCTAAATCTAAGATCAATAATGGAAAAATTGATTTCCGTAGAATTGCTACTAACTTATGTGAGATTATCGATATTTTTAAATCCCGTTTCATCATTTTAGGGTATTTTTCAAAATCATAAAAAGAGTTTGGAATCGGCTTCAGACCTAAAATTTTGTCAAACAAACTTTTGAGTTTTACATTTAATTCAGATAAATTCTTTAACATCATTGATGTTTAAGAGTATTATTTCATTTCAAAGTCATTAATTGGTTTATAATCAATAAAAATTCAAGTAAAGCAAAGTGGAAAGATGATACAAATATGAAACAAGATTTTAAGTGTGTCATACTGTCGTTTTTGACAGTTGACAATTCAGCTATCCTTGAACTGATGTTTTGATGCATGAATCTATCGAACAGAGGTTAGTGCTTTTACTTATCAAGCAGATTTCCTGGATTCGAATACTGGTGATGGGTAGAATATTCCATCACTCATACTCTTTTTGCTTTTTTATCATAATTTCTTCAAATTTCAAAATTGGTAAGTTGCATTAAGTCTAACCCCTTTGACGAAATTCGTGTCCTCAAACAAGCTAAAATAGATCGTTGTTTTTTGAAATTCCTATCAATCAGCTGCGATTCATCACCAGGTACATAGAAAACAACATATAAATGCAAAAAAGGCTGATATGCACTTATGTACTCTCTGTCTAATCAAAGAACTCCCTCAGACAGTCATCTACAATGTTGTTGATTACGATATTATGGTTATGGGTTTAAAATATTTTTAGTAAATGGTGTAGGTTCAACATTTGAGATGGTTTTTATCTAGGGCTCCTTCGAAAGCTCTTCACTTATAACAGCGTTTTTTTGTTTTGTTTTGTTTTTATAGCAGTAGACAGCCCACATTTTATAGTGGACTGTGTTCTTTGGTTGCAAAGGCAAGACAATGCAGCCCAATTGATTTAACGTTGCAGATAATAGTGTAATGTCAGAAGTCTTACAACGTTTACGTCAGGGGCGGCGAACCTTTATACACCAACGTGCCAATTTTTCCAAAAAATTGTTTAATGAGGTCATAGACGTGCCGTCAAATAATTTTGACTTCGTGCTTATTGGGAAAATAATAATAATAAATACTATAAACTCTTTATTTACATTGAAAAAAAAAAATACATTTTGCCATGTCTTAAAACAACTTAATGTAACATCAGTGTGACTTCTGTTGTTGCAGATTGGATGACAAATAACTTATATTAGGTTATTAGATGTTAGTTTAAGCGGGACTGTTTTTTTTATAGCTATTTTTTGTTAGCTTGTTTTTTAGCGTGTATTTTTAGCATTAATTGTTAATTTTTTATTAATAATTGCTTATTACTTTGTTCGTTTTTGTGAAGTTCAATTTAATTGTTGCATATGCTTAATAGTGTAATAACATTTTTGTAATAACAATTCATAGTGTAATAACAATTGTGATCGGTGGCGTGCCCAAAATATTGTGTCTCGTGCCATAAATGGCACGCGTGCCATTGGTTCGCCATCCCTGGTCTACGTGATACATATCATTGTCCCATATTTCATCGAATCTCCGCTCGTTTATATTCTTTTATTTTCGAATCTCCGCTGAACAGCCAGCCCAAATTTTGAGTTTACGACTGCCTCTGTTCAACTCCGTAACCTTGTAATCTTGAATGCATTCCAGAAGACACGGGAACTCCTAGATCAGTACCCTCGAGGAATTGATTTGTCATGGGAACTTAAAAGACTTTGAGACCACGAAAGACGTTTCTTTGGTCGGCTGGAATCGAACTCTTGTTCTCACGAACACGAGTTACCAACCAGGCTAATTAAGCCTTCCGCTCGTTTATGAATTGTTAAAAAGTTCTTAATAACGATTATTTTTCCCTCATTATTCATTTTTAATGCATTTCTGATATTCCCTAGAACCCTCCCTCTTACTGATCCCTATTTTCTTTCCAACACCCTATTCTGTGGTAAAAACTTTTCCTTTTGACTATTATATCATATCTTATGTAGTTTGGTTAGTTTATAGTTTATAGCACCAGGTATAAATACATGGATCATACATGCGTTAAAAATTTTTTTAAAAAATATATACCTGTTTCAAAAATGTATCTTGCTTTAAATCCTTGACCCGTTGATTGTCCACTACTAAAGATCATGGCTAAACGTGGACCTTCTGATATAACGGTGGGTGGTAAATCTGTTTCTGAACCACATAGATTTAGATCGAATTCGTCCAATGCTTGCCGTTCCTCTTGGCCTTGTAAGTAAATTCTCAAGAAACCTCCATCAGTACAGCTGAAAATATGTAGATTCAAAAAATGCAAATAGTGATAATAATAACAGATGCTTTATTAATTAACATAATGTAAGGAGGTATTCTTTGCATATCTACTTTTAACGGGTGTTCAATAAATGATCAACAATTTTAAAAATCAGTCAAAGACAAACGGAACAAAAGCAGGTTAGCTTGTTAGAAAGCCAGGTCAATTTATCTTCGCCAAATATTAAAATTACTAACTGAGTTCTTCAAGCTATGGCTTTGTTAATAGAGGAAAACTACATAATATAATTTTCAGAATGACCATCCTTGCAGGAACAAGGTTATGCAAATCTGAGAACAAAATTAATAATCGCTGAAAAGAATGTTTCAGATGGAATAGTCTGGCACGGGGAAGAAAATATTGCTTTATAGTTTTCTTAATCAAAGGTGCCATCTGTTGAGAGACATTGTAACTAATTTTGAAATATGATAAAAGTAAATAATGAGCTTTTTTGAACAGAAATCAACAAACTATATTTTTCACATCTCTAACTATTTCCGTTTTTTATTTTTATTATTTATTATTATTATTTTTTTTTCGAGTTGGCAGTCATGTTTGGAGCATTCGTTACTTACATAAGGGTACATTATTATGTAGCTGTTAAAAAATTGTTCGAGGCCAAAAGCTTGGATCGACATGGTTTTATGAAAATTGAGTATTTGCTATTAAAATTTAACTATCTATTCTGGTTTTTGTTTTACTGTTTAAAATAAAAATTAATACGTTATCATAAAATTGCCCATTACCAATAACGTTTTTAAAACTTTTGTATAAAAGTTTCTCAATTTCTTTTATTTATTCAGGGTATTCTGAGATGATCACCCTTGAAATATAGTTTTAGAAACCTTGTCGATAAATAAATTTAAAGAAATATAGACATTCATGCACATTAATAATCACTAATTAAAAAACACATAAAAAAAGTTCTTGAAGCTTAATCAATCCCTTATGAATAAGGTGAAATTGAAAGTATCAGAATTAGACTGATTGTTAAAGGAAACAGAGAAAAATTGAAAGCCAATTCTCAGAAGCCTATCCAACTTTCATGAGGTAGATTAATTGGTTTGGTTATTTTTCATCCTGCCTTACCAACACACTAGAGATTAAGACCTATGGATTTAAGAAAAAATCGGACTTGTTAATGTATTGACAAATCAAGAGTTGGAAAATACCAAACTTGTTCATAGATAATTTACCACCTCTTAATGTAAAAAAAGAACTTTTTTTTGCCTAGTCGATGCATACACCAAACGTTGTAAACAAATGTATTTAAGCATGAAAATATACTTACTCTGCATCTTTTTTCGGAATTCCAAATTTTTCGAATTCGAGCCTGACCCTTTCTAAATCTTGGTTGTCTTGAAGTCCATAAATATAGTATTTGCAAAGACTAGGATAATTATAAGGATATGGATAATTCGGAGAATACACGTTTCCAGAGGATTCCTTTTTACTCAGAATCTTTTGGTCGCACTCTAAATTGAGAAAGAAAAAAGAGAAATGAATGCATACTAATTGATTATTTTGTTATTCAACGCTGATGATGTTGCATTTTTTATTGATGATGATGAAAACAGTGTTTCAAAAAACAAGTTCTCAAAAATCTTTTTTACAAACGAAATAAAACAAAATGCTTATATGAAGCTTATAGTACATATAAATATAACAATAGTCATTGAATATTTTTTTTCTGATTTATGAAAGAAAACTATTTAAATAAAATGTTTCAGTTTTGGATACTGAATAGTTCTGCTTAGCTTGCTTATAAGAAACCACTTTTAGATACACTAAAAAATTCTGGATCAAATTACGGTATAAAGTAACGGGACTTTGGGTGCATCATCCGTAAAATCTATTTGTACCGTAAAATATTAAAGAACTACTTTTACAGTAATATTTACTTAATTCGAGAGATTCAGTTTTTTTTGCTCAGCAACATACTCCAGTAAATATGGAGTTTTCAGTAAAAATTACCGGTAATTTTATTTTTTATCGTAATCTTTTACCGTGTACTTCAGCGTTTTACTTGGTGTAATCTATTCTATTCCCTTCATACTCTCTGTAAGTTGTATACAATTTTTTGCCTCTATTTCTCTGAAATTCTAAATAACTTTAAAAAAACTCAAAGAAATTCTGAAATAGTTTCAGAGTTGCTATATTCGTGTTCTTATAGAAAGAAATTTGTAATGTTATGAATGAAATTCTATGTAAATGTCTCTGCTTAACGTAATTCACTCAAAATAATCCACGGTATTTTAAATTATTAATTATAACTTAATCACGAAGCTTTTATTTTAAATTAAATATATTTTTAAGCGCGTGTTTTTTGTCTGTGTAATTTTATGTTATGTACAATCTTTATATCTGTATAATTTTATAATTTACATAATTTTCCTATCAGTATACTTTTATAATATCGATTTTTGTCGACAGTCTGATCCACAATCTGATGGCAGTATAATCCTAGAATATGTATGTGTTACCGGCAAAGTATGAAATGATTTATATTTCACACATTGCCTAGGCATTATATATAATGCCGGATGCTATTTAGGTAAAGTGTGAAATAAACGTCCTGATGAGGTTATTATGTAAATGATGTGCATGTTACTGTGAATGACCGAAATCGGTGGTTGTTGACTTTCACCAGTGAATGTTGACAATCACATAGTCACTTTGGCGAATGTCCGAAATATTTATTACATCCGATTTGATATTAATTTATTCGTGGATATAATTACATTNTTTATTCTATTTTTAACTAAATATATTTTAAAACGCGTGTTTCTTGTCTATATAATTTCATGTTATGTAAATCTTTATATCTGTATCATTTTATAATTTACATAGTTTTCCTATCAGTATACTTTTATAACATCGATTTTTATCGACAGTCTGATCGACAATCTGATGACAGTATAATCCTAGTATATGTATGGATTTAAATTGTGTATTAGAAAATGTTTAAATTACATACCAGTTCCACGAATGTGTTCTCCATCATTTTGCCCAATAAATTCTAAAAAGGTAAGCAATAAATAATCAAAAATTTTTTATGGGAACAGATACTTTCACACCAGGAAAAAAGAGAACTGTTCTACTAACCTAGACTGACGAAGCTGTTATTGAATTCGAAATGTCCGGAGAATCCTCGATTCTCACTCTCAGCTGTTCTTTGAAGAGTGATAAATTGCACCGAAACATTCTCAGCAGACGAATAGATGACTAAATTCCTCTGTTGTCCACAGTATGTTCCTATGAGTGGATCTTCCGTCGTTATACCATCGTAAACTTTGACATAATCGAAAGGACAACTGGAAGAAGAATAAAATCTTAGCAGAGTCAGGGGTTCCTGAATTTTTCTAAGTTACAGAATCCTTACAACTGTGACACTGTACGTCAGTTATGTAAAGTGTGTCCTCAGTAAACAAACAAACGAAAACTGACAGTGAAAAGGTTAATAAAAAATGTGACAACATACACAGTAAAAAATTTAAGTTTAAAAAATGTAAGCAACTGTGCACCAAAATATTTTATAGTGAAGAAGTTTTAAATTCGAAATTAGTTCGATAAGAGGAAAAATCTAATTTTCCTTTTATGTTGAAGAGTTTTGTATTTCCATGAGATATTTCCAACTCAGGTAATTATTTTCTACTGTAAAAATAGAAACCTCCGTTTAAGTTTAATTAAATAAAAATTGCTTTCTTATCTTCTTATCAGAATGAAAAATAATGCTTGCTTTGCGATGTAAATAAATATTAACTTGATTTATTTATAAAAATCAATTATTTCAATCGAATAAAAACATCTTAAATATCAAGCTAAAATCATCGTCGATATACCCTTTTGTTAAATGGAATGGGGAAATTATCTTATTTGAATCTTGTTATTTCTGAATCATGTAAGAAGTTTTTATTTTAAATGCATTATAAGACAAAGTTCTAAGCTTGTTGACGACTTACTGTGCACCTCCGAAAACGAGATCGAAATCCATGAACTCCAGACGGACTCGTTCATTTTTCTTTCCCAGGAAGCGATAAAAGCAATCGAGGTTTTTCGGATAAGCTCCTGGATAAGTAGGGGATTTGAATTCTCCCGTTTGTTGCTTGTCGCTAAATACTGTAAAACTGCAGACGGAATCGGGAGATGGCGTCCCCAAAACGTATTGAGCTGAAATGAAATGTTCATTTTATGTGTGACATTATTAAATGAGCATATAAATTGGATTATTAGATTTAAAACGTATTGAGACGACATGAAATGCTTGTTGTTCTGAGTGATTATAATGAACAGATAAATTGAATCTTTAAATTCAGAAAAGAAAAGAAACAAAAAGGAAAAAAAATGCAAATAAATTTTGGTAAATGGGATTTAAAAAGAGAAATAAATGAAATATTTGAAGGTATTATAAAGTGTTCAAAATAATTTTTTCAGTAATGGTTTAAAAGTGATATTTTATTACAATTTTAAAATAAGTGAGGGTGATAATATTGTAAATTGAGATATTTAATGATTTAATAAAATATAAATACTGTTGGAAAAAATTTGAAAATCATTTAAAATAAGAATATTTTAAAATAAGAATATTTTAAAATATGAATTTTACAATCCAGCAAACAATTAACATTTCACTATATGTGAAAAAAAAAACATTGTGCAGTACGTATCAAACTTTATTGTATAACATGCAAAAGATGCATTTTGCAGTATGCAATATGCTTAATTTAAAAACATATTATTAGTAGTAACATTTCTCAGTTTCAGTTTTAAATTAAATACTAGTTTTAATATTTTTAATAAAACTTTTCATACAAATTATCACGTAAATAATTTGAATTTTGATAAGTTAATTGTTATACATGCACGCAATTTTTAAAAAAATATGTACACGTAATTCTAAAAATGTACGAAAAAGTCAGTGATTGCAAAATACCCTGTGGATGGTAATATGGGTCTATTTACATTTATATTTAATTCAGGATTTAATATTTGAATCCATGTTTATAGCACTCATCGCGTATCATGAAAAAAATTTAATAATAGCGATATAGAAATTCTCGCTTGTAATGAAAAAAAAGTTTTTAAAGGAACTAAATTAATTAAAAATATTTTTTTACCTAATTAAGTTTAATTATGACTGAGCACTAAAAGAAAACACTTAAAGTTTAAAAGAGAAAAAAATCTCGACTTTTGGTACTTCAAGCCTTTTTCATATTACTTCTTTTTTTAGCTCTTAGTCAACATTAGTATTGGTTTAGGGATTAAATATTTTTATTTCTAATCATCTATTATTTTCGATATTTGTTAAAAGATACAAATCATAATCATGCTGTTATTTACTAGGAGTAATATTTTCATGTGTCACAAAGGAAACAAACTTACAGGCATTGATGAATTCATAGAAGCCTTCAAAGGCTTCCGAAGTCACGTGACGTTCATCTGTGTAGAAGGCAACAACTAAAGTTTTATACATAGAGATGCGGTTCCGCGGCCGGTATCTACCGCAATATCGTCCTCCGAAAGGTGTTCGGATCAGCTCCATGCTCGCGTCCTCAATCTCCGCGTACAGGTCAATATATTCATGATTGCACCTATAAAAAAGATGCAATAAATACAATAGAGAAAAATGCAGTCGAATACAATATGCAAATTCAGTAGATGATGATCATTAATTATTTAAACATAAGTACCATTAAGTTGGGGAAAACATTTTGCTATCGAATACAGATATACGAAATTAGAATGATGGAGGAATGCAAATTTTATTTGGTGCATGAACCAAAATAAAATAATAATTATTTCATCCTCTTTAAATTAATTCAAATGAATTAATGTGAATATAGCATACGGAAAAAAAGCAGTATTATGAAATACGTAAATGCAATATATTACAATCTGTATTTATAACATATATAATATTAGGTGGAAAAAACTATCTTGCTCTCGAAAAACATACGCAAATTTAAAATGATTGTAAAATGCAAATTAAATTTTTTGAATGAGCCAAAGTACAAAAGTTTATGTTATTGCATTGTCCTCAAATAAATAATATACTACTCTTGACTGATTTGATAAACACGCAAGTTTCTTAAATACATATACATCATTTTTCTAATTTCAGTTTTTTCCTGGACAAATCAACTGAATGAATCTATTGTCCTTAACATCCGGAATCTTTAATTGTGAACCAATTGAAACTCAAACCAGAAATAGACCCAGACTTTGGTGAGTTGACTACATTAATGAGGATTTCAAAGCACTGCTTGTTAACTACAGGGATTCTCAGGACAAGAAGAGAGCAGGATGAAATTGATTCCAAAGAATGCAATAATTCACAAAGCCGTGTGGAGTAATTATAAAATCAGATCAATTTTAATTTTTAATAATTTTTCGAAAAAATATTAAATGCAGCTAAAACTTTTTCCAGGACAGGTATAAAAACTTCCGAAAATATGTGAATTGCATACTCATTTTATGTGTTTCATAGTTAACTCCGCCTTCCGAATTTCACATCTGTATCTGGATGTAAACAATTCAGAAACAACTTTTAAATTCCTTGTCTGTTGTCAGAATATTTTCTAATTCTGACGTAGGTTTTCACTGTGCTTGCAATAGTGTATTTTTGCACCTGGATGAAAAAATTTACTAAAAACTTCATAATCCGTTCAAAATACTCTCTAATTCTGACGTGGAATTTCATTCTGCCTGCAGTGTTGTATTTCTGCATTTGGATGCAAAGTATTTTTGAAAAACTTTTAAATTTCTTGTCCGTTCAGAATATTTTGTAATTCTGCCGTGGGGCATCACTCTGCTTCAAGTATTCTATTTCTGCACTCGGACGTAAAAGTTCATAAATTTTTTTAAAATTCCTTGTCCGTTCAGAATGCTCTCTAATTCTGACGTTTGGTTCTATTCCACCTGCAGTATTGTACATTGCACTTGGATGTAAAAGTTTTAACAACGATTTTTTAATTTTTTTGTTCAGTTTGTTCTATTCTAACGTGAGGTTTCTACATCCCCAATCCTTGTTTTTAAGGGATGCTACGAAAAGTTGTGGAGAAGAGCAATTTAATTTTCTCTTAAGACAAATTTCTTGTTTTCGGGACTGATAAATTTGTTCACAGAACTGAATGTGAGGATTTCGGAAACATTAAGAATATCAGAATTTCAGAATCTCAATACAGTTTTTTAATCATAGTTTTAATAAAGGTTATTAAGTAATTTCTTGGTTTTAAACAAATATTTTTTGCGTCAGTTATGTTAAGAGAACTTATTAGAATCATCAACACTAGCTTCTATTGGAACAAACAAATATAAAAGTACATTTAAAAAATTTGAAACAAAACTAATTCACGAAATTAAATTATTGATTAACAGAAATACAAACATATGCATTGTTTAAATGTTTCAAATTAAAATAATTCGCAAAAATTATTAAAGTTAGGAAGTGCTATTTTCTCTAATTAAATGAAGCAAACCTTTATTTCGCATTTTCTTTGAAATGTAATTTGCTGCATAATGATTATCTATTGATAAAAGTTAATTAAAAAGAACATAGATAACGGAAACTAAAACCTTACTTAAAATTTAAAATGGTGAAAAAAAAGGCTTTAAACTATAATGTTTGCCAGTTTTAAATCAATTGACACATTCATTTTCAGAAACTCAAAGATTTTTTTATCAAGTGATATTTCTAGAAACTATTACGCAGTAGCAATTTAAACATTATAGAAATTAAGTGTGTAAACGCAAACTTAAAAGCAGAGGGAATAAAAGAAAATGCTAACTCAGGACTGGCTCCTCGGAGGTTGAATCTTCCAAAAGTGACCCGAACCCTTTCGTTTTCGCTTGCGATGAATGTGTAGATACACTGCCGCGAGTGACCTTCAGGAATAGACATGTCTGGAGAAGTGAAGGTGCCATTTTTCGGTCCTTCTGGATTGCTGATAAACATGCGGTCGCATTCTGAAAAAAAAATTACTCAGTACATGCTAGAAATCATCTGAGATAGTTTCATTATTTTACTTAAAGTAATAGTTGAATACCAATTAAAAACAATGGACACGTTGTTTGCAGTAGTTTCGAAAGTTGAAGAAAAGATATTAAACACAATTCACGTTAAAAAAATGTTTCTTTTCTATAAAAAATCATTTGCAAATGAATGGTGATTCATTAAATATAGTTAAAACTAAAAGGGGAGGTTAGAATTGCAATGAAAGCCATAAATAGGAATGTTATCATACGCCGCAGTTGGATAACCAATAATATGGTAGCTGATCGCTCGCATTTAAAAAAGTACATTTATTTGCATAAATTATTTTAATCTCGTGTTTTTACATTTATAAGCAATTATTGTCTAAAATTACATTCAGATAGGTCCAAAAATGGCTATATTATTGCAATTTAATCTGTTTGTTTCTGATTTGACGAGTTCACCAAATGGGTCATCAAATCTTAAGTTATGATAAAACATTTATTTCTAAGCCTATTTGAATGCACTTTTAGTCAGTGATTACTAGTAAACTCAAAATTAAAATAAATTAAATAATTTATAAAATTAAATAATTTATATAATAAAAAAAGTTCTGTTTCTAGTGCTTTTGAGCATCCAGTGCATAATAGGGAGTGACTCCTGTGCAGAATAAAACTTTCGGCCATGGTTTGTTATGCTGTTCTCAATTTTTTATGATGTGGTTTTCATCAAGTTTTTCTAATATTTGATGATATCCCAGAACAAATCTACTTTATTTGAATAAATATACAATGATGAGCCGGTGGCTCAGAGGATAGTGTGCTCATCTTCCAATGAGATGAAAAGTGTTCGAATCCCAGCAAAGGCTGTTCGATACAAATTCCGCAGCCGGCTCACACCCACCACAGTGCTGATATAAAATATGTTGAGTGGTAGACGGATCATGGGTTAGAGTCCCCTTTCTGTCAGTTTAACCGTGGGAGGCTTTCGTGATTTACCTATCCATGTAACGCAAATGCTGGTTCGTTCCATCAAAAAGTCTTCCACGGAAGCAAATTCCTAAAGAAGGATACCTTGTCTTCTGAATTGGGTTCAAAATTACAAGGCTACGGAGTTGAACATTAGCACTCGTAAAGCCAAAATTATGTCGACGACTGTTGCAAAATATACTATGATATTTTTTTAACTGAAGAGACTGACTGTACCAAATAATAACACGTTCGACGTAATAAGCAAAATATGATATCTACCGAGTTAGTTAAGTTCCGTCTTTCAATTTTAGTCCAATTCATTTTTTAAAATTATTATATTTTATATTTCTATCTAAATTTTTGAAGAATACGTTAATCTTTATTTCCCACACGCGAAGGAAAATAGTTATATGTAACAATTTTGAATTTTTGAATAATAATTAACAACTCATTTTCAACTAGCAACTGAAAAATCATTTATATTACTTTTATCTAGTAGTTATTTTATAGTTAATTTTAAGAAAATAATTAAATAGTTACCTATAAATAAATAAAAAATGACATAAATCATCGTTTACGTTTTTTTAAGAAAAAACCTAGCTTTTAATGTTAATAAGATGATTTATTATGGAGCCTATGAGTAGCATGTTTTTTTTGTTGTTATTTTGAAATAATCTTATTAAATTCTAGAAAAAAAAAATTTTAATTCATTTTTTTGAAAATACCTACTGTTTTGGAGAAGTATTGATTCTTTTATTGTTTTTTTTAGTAATTAACAGCAAATTATGCATTAATTTACAATGTTTAAAATAAAGATTGTCACTGTTTCATTAGTTGTTTTATTATTTTAAAGTTCATCATTTTCTTCCAAAGAAATTTTAAAAAATTGAAATGACGATATGAGTAACATACAGGATATTTCTGAAAGGCATTATAAACAGTAAAACAGGCAATACTGACGTCATTTAAGAACAAAAATATCGATAAAATATTTTGATGTTTTTCCTAAGCATCTCTTTCGCATTCTTTTCTTTGGCGAGTTTTTTTTCTTTGGCTTTAGCAATAAAATTCCATGATGAATATTTTTTTTATAGCCTTTAAAACCAAATGTCGAAAAATTATTTTTATTGGAGTATTTCAGAAAGAATAATTATAAAGGTTTAAGGGAGGTTGCTCAATCTTTGGTAAAGTTTTGAATATTGTAAAATCAGAATGGATATGAATGAAAATTAAAAATCTGATTAAAAAGCACGATAAATATACATTTCTGATAAATATTTTATATTCAACATAGAAGGTGTCACAGTTAAAAATTTCAGAATTTTTAAGAGAGGTGGGGTGCATCCTGTATACTCTAATCATTTATATATTCCCTCATTAAGCGATGATGTATACATAAAAATCATAGAAAAAAAGACCGTAAGTAAAAAAGACTGCGACAGCTCGTTTTTAAAATAAATTTTTAAAAATAAATGCGTAAAAATAAAAGAAACATGGGTGAAGTAAAGTGTTCGAAGTTTCATCCACCGACTGCAAAGCAAGTATCGCAGCTATGGCGGATGCAATTCGTAATATTCTATAATAATCCAGGTTAATTTCGAATTTTTCAAGCTATTCCTGTGATTCCTGCAAAGCCATCTACCAAAGCATTCCTCCTTTTCATATTTGACGATACAACTTACACTGGGGTCAAATTTTTTTTCGTTTTCTGTTGCATTACTTTTTTTTAAAAAATAGATTTTGGATGCTTTCATATCACGGATTTTAAATATGAAATCGGTTTCTCTCTCCCAGCAACAGTTTCCTTCTTAAATTTTTTTAAAATTACATTTTTAAATCTATTTTTTTTTTGTCGAAACGTACAAGTTTAAAAACGTTATATGTAACAGGATGTTGCATAATTTTACATAATTTTATAACCGTCGATGTGGGTTTACGACTACTAACGTTCAGCTACGTGGCCTTGTAATTTTGAATTCAATCCAGAAGACAAGGGAACTTCTGGATCAAGTATTAGGAGAAATTTATCTTCGCGGAGGACTTTTTGATGGAACTAAACCACGTTTGCGTTACATGGAGAGGAAGACCACGAGGACGTCCCACGGTTATCCTGACGGCAAGAAAACTCTAACCCATGATCCGTCTACAACTAAGGATATTTCATGCCAGCACTGTGGCCGGTGTAAGCCGGATGCGGAATTTGTATTGATCAGCCATGCTGGGATTCAAACCCGGTTCACTTTATTGGAAGGTAAGTGCTCTATCCCATGAGCCATCGTGGCTCGATGTTGCATAATCAGGGTTAAAATTGCATATGAAACTACACTCGAAAATGTAAACATACGCTACTAGGGGCGCTTGCTTTTTTGAACTATTTATTCTTCTGAATAGGTCATAATACAGAATGCCGCTACACGTGCGGTGACATTTCCGGGCATGAGCTCGTATACGATTTTAATCCTGATGGTGTGTTCTAAGTCTCCTAAAAATTTTTCGCAAGATTTACACAACCCCCTGTTATATATACCGTTTTTAAACGTGTACTAAGAATAGATCTAGAATACGATTTAAAAAAAGATGTAGCTTAAGGACCAAACTCATTTCAAATTTGAAATCTAACAGCACAAATTAGGCAAGATTAAGCATTTTCAGAAAGGTGACAACAAAATTGCTTCCCAGTGTTTTTATTGAAATTATATTATTTTTGTTTAATATTATATCTCTATGTAACGTGTTATTATTTGTATAAATAATCATATATGCATTAATTTATTTTGAAAAATATTTAAATAAAAATTTTATTATTATTACATTTATATTATTTAATTGAGTGTAATATCCATTTTTAACGAGTGTAATATCCTTTTAATTTGAGTATACTATCCATTTTAAATTATGAAATTTATAGTAATTGGTTTTTAAAAATAATTTTAATAATAATCGCATTATCATAATTAATTATTTGAGTGCAATCTCTCTTTTTATTATAGTATTATTTTTCACAAATTATCTCATTTATCATAATTTTTTTTTTTTACTAATGAGCATAATAATTTTAAATCTATTACAATTCATAATTGAAAAAAAGAGGAAAATGCAAAGTTAAATATTCTTTTTTGTTGGTTTTATTTGATTTAAATTTCAAGACTTTAATGATTATAATTAAAGCATTATCAAACCAAGAAGTACTTATCGCTAATTTGTTTTCTAAAATAATTAGTCGCATTTTTTAGAACTTCCTGAAATTCTTTTTATCTATTCATATTATTTGTATCTTTTGAATCTTTGTATTCCTTTTGGATCATTACTACGCTATTAATATTTCTCCCTGTTCAATTCGCCTGAGGATTTTTTAAGTTTTTATAGATATTGGCACAGAGAAATTTGATAGTAAATTTCAAACCTACGTTAATAAAAAATCAATATTTAATTAAATAAAAATGAGCATTATAATTCTAAGGTTAAATATTGATTCTTATTTATTACTTTATTGTATCTATTGTGAAAGTTTTAGCATTCAATTTTATTAAACTGTTTTGACATTATTAATATATTCCTATCTCATAAATTATTTTTCACAGGTTTCGATTTCTTTGTATATTTTTGATTAGATATGAAAATTTCATGCTTGACTATTATGACTAAAAAAATAATTTTTGTTGAAATGAAAATAACTGGTTCGTTACAGTTTAATAAATATATTTACTGAATTGTAATCATTTTAAGAGTTTTAACATTATTATTAATGCATCCGTCTTAAATCAGTTTCTGCGTATTTAGATCATATATATATATAAATCTAAATGCGCATAACATTTTGCTTAAGTAATTTTTTTTTGTTTATTGTATTACTTACAGAAAGATTAGCCTTTTTTTAAATTCTTTTTTGCAATATTTTACCCCTCTTTCTGAAGTCAGTCTTCGAGGATTTTGAATTTTTATTGGGGGAAGTAGGCTAACACTATGTACATAAGATTCGAAAGCCTGTTTCGCATTTAAACTGTCAGATTTAATCATTTTTTTTATCTTAGCCCACTAGTAGGGTAAGACCTAGCATATATGTTAACAAGGTAGGAAATTTAGAAATACTGGAGTTTCCGTGAAAAAATAGCAGAAATTTCTATTTTATATGACAATCTTAAAAATGTATGCGTGCAATTTACGTGTAATGTTGCCAAAGCCATTTTAAGGGGGGTGAGAGAAAAGGACATTGTCCCGGGGCCCAGAACTGCTGATAGACTGATTTTTTTTTTTACAAAAAATATTGTGTTTATTAATCGGTATTTTTCTATTTTTTAAATTGCAGAGGATTTCCATATAAACTTTATAGTTAAAGTTAGTTATTGATTTTTATTTATAACTTTATTGTATTTATTACAAAAGTTTTAACATTCAATTTTATTAAACTGTTTCGACATTATAAATATATTCCTATGAAAACTACAAATTTCCATAAAGGGTCTTCAAATATTCTACTAAATTTAAAAATAAGGCTTTTTTTGCTGTATAGAAGCGGCTCGCCATAACTTTTGACCTGGTGGCCGGAAAATACTTTTTCGACTTTATCTGTAGTTATCTTCTTCCTCCTCTGCATTGTAGCTTTCGTGAGAACAGGATAGACTCATATTAAAAGGGTGTGAACGAAACCGGGTATTACCCTGTCTTACCCCAAGAGCAGAGGTTATCGAAATGTATATTGCTAAACGATTGTGCTATTATTTAAATAAACTTTCACTGTTTGTTAGTTTATTAATATTTAGTAAACGTATAATAAGCTAGGTGAAAAATGATTTTTCTAACTATAGTAACCAATAAATAAGACTCGCTTAAAAACAAAAGAACATTTAAAAGCTGACATGAAAAAACAAGCTTATTTGCAGAGACGCATTGAATTAATCAACAAAAATATGGCAATATGGTAGGACCGGGGTAGCCTGGTTGGTAGGGTGTTGGACTCGAATCCAGACGGCCGAAGTAGTAAATGGTAACTAGTGCACGCTAAACGTTTGGGGTCGCAAAGTCCTTCATGTTCCTATGACAAATTAGACCTCTGGGGGTACTGGATTGGAGATTAATCGTTCTCTGGTGCAGGTCAAAATTACTATCTGTGGATGATAGAATGGATGTAGGACTGAATTACCCCTAAAAACGGGTGTGACGTATGGGTGTGGCAGAAGTAGAATTCTTGGCTATAGATGGCGCCACTGGAAAACAAGAACTATTGCACCCGTCCTGTTCCCTAATGGTCTACGACAACAGCCACCATAACGCCAATATGGTAGGTCCTTTTTCTTCACCAGTGAAATGCAATTCAGAGTTTGTCCGCTAGAAAACGGAACTAATTTTGACACGATCCACGTACGCGGTCTCAACCCATCACCCGGTCCTACCCCACTCTCCTCTTCATATTAAGCAGTAGATCAAAGTTTTTTGAGTGTTAATTTTCACTAAAAGCGATTTTTTAAAAAAAAATAAAAATAGCCGAGGCTGTTTAATTATTTTTTTGATTACTTTATCGCAATAAATTTAATGTTAATTTTTATAAATTACTTTCATTGACTCCCTTTTCCTTTCTATAAAATCTACCTCCGGAGGTTTTCGGAATTTTATCTATATTCAATGAAAAATTGATAGTTTATGTGCGCTTTCTAATTGATAAAAAACTGTATTCCTTGAAAATCAACTGTTTGTTATTTAAATTGTTTTCCAACTTTATTTATTACGTTGCAATCAACTCAATAGCTTTAGCATTAATTTTAATTTAAACAATTAAGAAAGAAAGGAGACAATGTAATTGAAGTAAAATATTCTTAAAAAAAAAGACTTTTTCCTGAAATCTCTCTTTAAAGACATATTTAAATAAAACCTGCCCGATTTCTGTTTATGTTTTTATGAAATAAAAATGACGAAGTAAATATACCACGGATGTTCTGTGAAAGATAAAAACGGAGTTTTATCAGAAGAAGAAAAGAAAGAGGCGGATGTAGACTTTTTTTTTTCAGTACAAACATGCATTTATCTTAACCGGAGTGGAGAAGAGCTAGAAAGAGGAGAAAATTAAGAGAAAAAAGAAATGATAATGCAAAAAGTGCAAAAAGGAAATGGTGAGAGATAAAAAAGGAACATACTTGGGGTCCGCGCAGTGGGTGAAGGGAGGGTTTGTGCTGCTGCGGGATCACTCACACTTGACGAACCGCTCACTAAAGGAAGGGACAACACAAAGAAGAGAAAGAAAAAAAAGAAAAGAAAAAAGAAACAATTAGTGAACACAGCTTTGATATTAAAAAAAAATTAAGCACAAGCACAGCGAATATTTATAAAGGCAATAGTTTGAAGTACTAAAAGGGATCATTAATATTTAAACATTCCTTAATTAATCAATTTCTTCCTTAGTTTGAGTTTTCTTAATAGTATTATAGAGGATGAATAATCATTACAAATTTTGTTAATTAATTGATGGAATAGTTGTTTTGTATAATGAGAAATATTTAAGAAGTTACTATTTAATAATTTGAGTAATTTTATGCATGGGTATGTAGTCATTATATTTTTACAGCATCGCGAGTTGTGTTAAAAAAATAAACAGCATTCGCAGGTAAAATTTAGGAATCTTTATCTTTAGATGCTAACAATTTACTTGCATTTTTAATTTACAAACATTTTTAATGGATGTCTTTATTAATTAAATCATAAGAAAATATAACATATTTTATATATTGGTTTGTGATCATTACATTTTCATAACGGTTATTATGAATATTTGAAAAATATTACCAGGTAATGAAGTATTCAAAAAAGCGGTGCCTTTGTAGAAGGTATTATCGTTACTATTAAATTAGGCTTGAGTGTTCAAATCATCAGAAAATAAAGTACAGGATTTGCATTGGAATGTTATCAGTATAAATTTATAGCATAAAATTTTCTTAAAAATATAAACATGGTTAAAAATACTTGAATGTTGGTTTTTTGGCAATAACTAATAAGTTGAATTTCAATATCAAGTGATAATAAAAAAACTCTTTAACCCAGAGGCGACACCCAGTGTCTCTTTAATATCTTTTTTTCTGACACTTTAATTACAAGCAAAAATATGTTTTGGTATTTTTTAAATATAAATCACAGGCTAGTATTTATTAGAAAAATCTGTTAGATTATCGGAATTATGTTTTTACAAAAACATAAAATTCGAAAAAAAATAGTTGAATTTCTTTTTCTACTCATATTCAAAAATAAGTTAAATAAGTATATAACTATATTAGTGCAGATTTGAAAAATTATTGTTTGGAAGAAAAAGAAGCCAGTGTTTCATGTTGTATTTCATAACCATAAATTATTAAAATAATAAATATAATATTTTTCACTTATTTTGATCTAAATTTATGCAAAATAATAAAAAAGTATGAAAAATATGTTTAATGAAAATTCTGCAAGCACAAAGGGTTAAAGCACATTTGATATGTGATTTTTATATTTTTAAGACATCACAGATAACAAAAATAAAAACAGCGTGTTCTCTACAAGTTGCCTTTTTGCTATACATTTTTAAATTCTTATCAAAAAGGAATTAATTTATTTATCCATTGAATTGAATGAATGAAACAGACTTTCATGTAACTCGATGATCAAAGTGATTTATAAGCTTTTTGTATAAATTCAATTTAATTCAAATTATTTTGTATAAATTAAATCAATAAATTTTGTTCAAATAGTCTATTACATTTCAATTCTTCTCAAAAGGAATGTGTGGCGGTATGTAGAGAACATTCTGTACATGTAAGTAAATGCTTAGAATATATGATATTTAAATATATATATATATATATTTGANATCAAAAGATATATATATATATATATAAATATTTTTAATATTAATATATTACTTAAAATTGTAAGTAAAGTAAATACCACCAAATTGCAATTAAACACATGTGAACCTTAGGTTAGTGAATTTATTTATTTTCATGTGAAACGAATCTGATATATTCTGGAGTTAAATGTTTTGTCTATAACGCTTTGAACTAACACCTTTTGATTATTGAAATAAAACTGGGGTTTGGAACCCAGTTAACATCAACGTACACTGTTAGAAGTTTCATTCGAAAAGCATGGTTACATAACTGGCAATAGTCTGTCCATCCAACTAACCGTAAAGTTTACGGTTAAAAACACTTTTTACCTTTACGGTTTTGGAAACCCGTTTACAACTAGTATGGTTAAAAAGCGATGAATACAAAACTGTACATGTTTTAAATATTTACAACTAGCATGTTTTCAAAACCATAAAAAAAAAGAAATTTTACTGGACCTTGGAGATAGTTTGACAGCTTTATGATGCTGCCATCTATGCTTGAAGCAGAGTATCATATTCTAATATTCCAGGGTCACAAATGGGGAGAGCAAGACTCTGGAAACGCTTTATGCGTTAAGGGGAATGGTGAAGATATTGTGGTATCAACGTTAGAACTCGAAATTCCGTTCTGTCGGTAATGAGAGTGACTGATTAGTCCTCTCAGCTATAGGACTAATAATTATAGTATAATAGGTGCTAATAACTATATAATAGGTGCGCAGCTGCAAGGAACCAAGTGGTTTCATCAATTAGGCCTAGTTGGTGAAATAAAATTCGGGTTTATTAACAGTATTAGATTAAAGCAGCAAATAAACGGTTTGTCTCATAAGTAACAGTTTTAATGCCACATTATTTATGGTTACTTGCCTGTTTTGCTTGAATATGGTAAAGTAATATTTCAATAACTTATTATTTAACCATTTTTTTTCTGAGAAATTTATAAAAGTGTATTTAATGCAATCATCTGGGGGAAAAATCTTGAAAAGTTTGAAATGGTTGTATTGTAACTTTTTTATTTCTTTCTTAGTTTTGTATTTTATCTTTATTGAACTTCGAGGCAGACTGAAACTTTGACATTTAAATTTTTTCTTCTTGTTTTTTATTCAGATTTATCTATCTCCATAATAATAATAAAAAAAATATTTTAAATGCAAATAGCAAAAAAGCGCAAGATATGTTTAAATGCATGGGTCTGACTAGTTAAGATAAATAAATATCTGTTAGCATTAGGCATGATATTTTTTTTTATTGGAGTCAAAAATAAAAAAATAAATATTTTTAAAGCTGGATAAATATAATTATTTATATCACCCAGACTTTACTTTGTTATCTTGTTTTTCAATTGTAAAGATAATGAAGACTTAATACACTGAAAAAAAAGTATGATCAAAACTAGAAGAATAGGGCAAAATTTACCTAGCTCTAGGGGAACACCAGAAAGCATGGTAATTTTTACCAAAGTGCTTTGGCAATTACTTTTTGGTAAAATTTATAATGAAATATGGTTCTTATTACCATGCTGTTTGGTAATAAATGTGGTAAAATTTGGTAATTTTAACTGAAAGACGGTGATTTTCACAGTATTAATGAGTATGAGATAAAGCAAAAATATTAACTTTCATAACCTTTATTTTATTTAGCAAACACTTAACTTTCCTTCTCGTCGAATGTTTTCCCTATATAAGCAATAAGTTAACCTCTTTCAACAATAAAACTGCTACACATCAGGGCTATCCCAACATCTTAAAAGGGAAGTGTAGAGGTAGAGGGTTTGTATCCCGTAGTACCCCTAGATGCATCTTTTTTTTATATTTGTTTATTTATTGTTACTCACACATATGCAAGATAGTGTGCTTATTAAAAATACAGAGCTTGGCTTATATGCCCTTGTCAAGTTAAAATACATATAGATATAATATAGATACATATAGATATAAGATAGAGAAAGACAGTGCAAACATATATACTGGGACATGGGGGATTCGAACCCGCTACCTAAACGTTACACTAGATGTATCTTTGTACTGTCTTTCTCTAATTTGAGCGTTTTGTTCTTTAACTTGACAAGGGCTTATAAGTAATTGCACTTTGTACTGAAAACACAAGCCTTCTTATATGTAAGTGTAACGATAAATAAACAAATAGATTTTTGGAATTTTAATGTTTTCCTTTTAATTATTTTTACAGCACTCTCTTCTTCCCACTAAGCAATATTTTAAATAGAGGTAGCAGGTTGGAATCAAGGCGTAACCATGCATGTGTAAATAAATTCGGTTCAGATACATATATAGGCTTGTTTGCTTAATGCAGAAAATGGCTTTCCCCTCTTCAAATTACAGAACAGGAAGCACGAAAATGAAAGAAAAAAAAATCAGTACAATGAATTTAACCCACCTCTGACCATTGGGTGAAAGGATTACAACCCGTGACAATGAAGGCCCCAAAAATATATGGTTGTTTTACTTTCGATTCGCTGTGCAGTATTGTTTCGCTAACCACTCTGAAGCTTAGACATAAGAGTTCGAATCCAGCTATAACGCTGGATGTATATTCTTTCAGTATTTTGGAGAATTGTGCTATATGTTTTTCAAACTGAAACGAGTAACACACAGATGTATATAAATAAAAAAATAAATCCCACTACTCCCATAAATTTTCTATATTTTCATATATCTGAGTCAAGCATCTTTAAAACACTTTAATTAAACATTTGAAGCCATCATTCATATCCATTTTCATTTACTCTAGTTTTAAAAGAGAAATAATATTAGAATAATATTACAATTGGAAATATCAGTGATTTGACTCTTATAGGCCTTTTGAATAAACCACCATTTTAAATAAACCATATAAGTGTAAACATATTTGGTAAGTGGCACAGACATCAAAAGATTAAAATTACTAAATAAATGGTAAAATGAGTGACAGTTCTGAAGAAAATTTGGTAATTTTAGCATGATACTGTTGAGCATGGTATAAAAAAGCATTTATTTGGTTAAATTTACTTTTCAGTTTTGTATTTGTTACAAAATGTATGGTTATAAAAACTATAATTTTGAAAAACAAAATTTTAGGTAAACCGTTACCATAGCGAACGGTAAAATGACTGGTTTAAATGCCGCATATTTTGATTTAATTACCATAATTCCGGTTTCTTTTCTCAGAAATGACTTTACCGTACAAGTATGGTAATTTCGCCAGAAGTTTTTTCTGAGTTTGTGCAACAGTGCTAGTTGGTGTAAATAATATTTGTCAGAATTGTTTTTATTAGCTATATTTCAAGTAACAGGAATGGTTTTAAGATAACCATAATATGGTTTAAAATTGCTTCTATCTTAATATGATGCCAAC